CCATGGCGATGGCAAGGCAAGTGCTTTGTGTGTGTGCTTTGCTCTCCCTGGCGCTCGCTCGCTCGCAGCCCATCCGCTACTCCGTGGCCGAGGAGGCGGACAGCGGCTCCCTCGTAGGCAACCTGGCGCAGGACGCGGCGCTGCCGCCGGCGCAGCTCTCGGCTCGCCGCGCCCGCCTGCTGGCCGAGGACGGCCGGCAGCACTTTCGCCTCGACCGCGCCAGCGGCCGCCTCGTCGTGGCCGACAGGCTCGACCGGGAGCAGCTGTGCGCCCACTCCGACACCTGCACGCTCGCCTTCGAGCTGCTGCTGGCCGACCCGCTGCAGTTCTTTCGGGTCGAGGTGGCCCTGCAAGACATCAATGACCATTCGCCCGTTTTCCCCGAAGATAAAGTCACTTTTGACATCCCAGAAACGAGCGAGCCTGGCTCTCGTTTCCCATTGGAGGTTGCTCAGGACCTTGATGTTGGCAGCAACAGCATCCAGGCATACAGCATCTCTCCCGAGAACGAGTATTTTAGTGTCTCCTATGGAAGTCGGATTAATGGCGACAAATATATTGAACTGGTCTTGGAAAAGCCTCTAGACAGAGAAGAGCAGGCAGAGATGGATTTCAGCCTCACTGCTGTGGATGGGGGTTCTCCTCCCAAAAGTGGGACCACCCAAATTCACATTACAGTTCTGGATGTCAATGACAACGCTCCCGTCTTCACACAGGATCGTTACACTGTGCAGGTTTTGGAAACTGCATCAAAGGGCTCTGTGGTTATGACGGTATTGGCATCTGACCAGGATGCGGGAGTTAATGGGGAGATATCATATCAGTTCAGCCAAGCAATGAGCCAGAGAGACTTAGCATTTGAGATTGATGCCATTACAGGTGAAATTAAACTCACAAAGCCTCTGGACTTTGAGGTAGCACAGGCTCACGAGCTCAGTGTGAGAGCCAGAGACGGAGGGGGCCTTTCAGCAATCTGCAAAGTGTTGGTGGAGGTGTTGGATGTGAATGACAATGCCCCGGAGCTGGTGGTCAGTTCCTTCAGCAGTCCCCTCGCCGAGAACTCAGCGCCCGGCACGGTCGTTGCCCTCTTCACTGTCAGGGACCGCGATGCCGGGGCCAACGGCAAGGTCTCCTGTGCCCTCGACGATCAGCTCGTCTTCTCCCTGCGCCCAGCCTACAAGAATTACTATGAGCTGGTGACCGTCAGTGCCCTGGACCGCGAGGAGACGGCTCAGTACATGGTGACGGTGACAG